GTTTTTTTTTTTTTTTGCTGGATATTTGTTTTATATGTAGTGGTTATTTCTACAACAATTTTATTATGTACTACAGTTCTCTACTTGTTTGGAGATGAAATTTGAAAAAATTCCACTAATGCCTGTACTTTGAGCTTTCAAGTCCATACCAGTATGGTTTCAGTGAAAACAAACTATGCATGTGTATACATCCAAATGCTGTTCTAGTATTAAAACTAAAACTGAGGAACTTGACTATGACAACATTAATCTATATTCAGGGTATTGAAACAAGGGTACCAATGGTTTTGGAACCAGCAAGAATGCACTGGCAAGCTCAGAAATACTAACTTGTAAGTGTAAGTGGAATGTATTGAAACTTCATCTCCCAAACAAGAAGATACATTTTACAATACAGTTAAATGCATTAAATTTTACACAATGTAAAGATGTGGATATGTTCCATTAGAACATGGAAACTATTTTGTGTTCTATTTAGAATCTTCTCTCTGAAGATGTTGAATATACTTTGTCAAAAATACTAGTATTTAGTTTTAAATAAATAATATTTTCCAAGTTTAACACTGAAAGACACACTCATTTGTTTGTACTAGTGTATAATTTGGTGTTAAGTGCATATAAAAAATTTACACTTTTTTAAATTTCACTTATCAATTATGTAATTAATAGAGTAGAATTTCATTAATGCATTTATGGTACTAGAGCAGTGTTAGATTACAAGATATTTTTGTATTTTTGCAAAATTTGATAATTAATATGCAGTTGCAGATATTGCTGTATACAGTGGTGCATTGACTTATGAGTTTAATTCATTCCGTGACAGAACTCATAATTCAAATTACTCGTATGTCAAATCAATTTTTCCCATTGAAATGCTATTAATCTGTTCCTGACCCCTAAACACTGCAATTTTTTGTTAATGTTTTAAAATAAGAAAAATATACTTATAAATAATGAATATTGTATAAAAACACAATAGAATGTACTGCAATAAACTGGTTTTGTGGATGTTGCTGTGTACATAAAGAAAAAAAAAGATGGAAAATAAGAGATGAGAGCCACACACATAGGAGTGAACTTATGCCTACATCACTCAATTACATGATTTTCTATAATCTAGCATGTCAGACATTGGAAGAGTAACAAAAATGATAAAATTATGGCAGTTTCCATCTTCTTTTAATTAATCTATGGTTTGCTTTGCCAACTAGTGGTGGAGCATCTGAAGATGGCTCATAACCCAAATTTTAGCTCTCAACCCAGAGCAAAAAATCGGCCGAGAGACGGTTCTTATCTCGAAAAAGTCATAAGTTGGGACACTGTTAAGTCAAGGTACCACTGTACTTTGTATCAGCACATGCTACTGTATTCTTCAGATTTTCTTACATGTGCTGTTTATTGGTCTAAAAATGATACAGTACATGATTATACTGTGTTAAGGTTGATTGAAAAACCTGCATAAAATAATTGATATTGGTGGCTAGTAATGCTGCAACTTTGGTTTGGAGAGAAGTTGTATTTCTTAGAAGACCAGATCAACCTTTGATTCTGCTTACTGACTGTTGACTAAATGATGGCTGAAAAACAACTTCCAAGTAACTCATGTTGCTATAGTGGAAACCTCCTTTTATAGACACTACCAAACAGATACTGAGAATCAAACTCTTGTTGAAACCTGCAAACATCAGATGATTCTTTCAAGTCCAGTCCTGAAAGATGTTTGCACCAACTTATTTGGCAGTTGTGGCGTAAACATATATTAGGCATAGGAAAGCCCTGCAAAAGCTTTCAACTCAACGTAAATAAGATGCTATAACAAAATGAGTAGTTTTCTTAATTGTATTGCTCTAGATCCCATATTTGACCATATACCTATAAAATTAATAATAGACTTTAATGCACTTTAATAATTTCATACACAATAGCTAAGCAAATACTTTTAACATCAACCATGAAATTCAAACATGGAATTAATCTTCCAATATAGGCTGTACACCTTCCCTTCACTTCAATTTCTGCCTAGGACTGTTTTTAATCCACCATATGTACAAACAAATTTCGATTCATGGAAAACTAGCATGTAGAATTATCATCAGATCATTTGCTACTTTTCCTAGTGCTAGATTACTGGACATTTTGGATTATCAGGTGCCAAATTAACGATCCTTTATCATCTGTAAAAGTTCGTCCGATGGAGAATTATTTTTAATAAAATAAAAGACAAAACTGTCCAAAAAGGATCACCATTTATTACTTGTGTTCCAAGACTAAAACATTTTCGGCGACTGACCTTCCTTTTTAGGCTACTTTTTTGATCCTTTATCATATAATTATTTATTTATATAGTAATAAAAATTGATCACAAATTAATTTTAACAATGCCATGTTACAATTTTTAATCACCTTTTACAGACAGTTCTCTACTTTTGTAATTAATTGGTTCCTGAAATGTGTATGAAAGTAGAGCAATGTAAAAAAAACACCAAAAATGGTTTACAAAATATTTATTTTTTTATTGATTAGTATGTGGTGTTTTCTTTATAAATTTATCAAAAGATTATTAAGAAAGAGAGTAGTACAATTCAATTAGGAGTTCTATAACAAGCTGTCTTTTTCTATTGCCCTTCATACATGAGATGTACTCTCTCCATTGGGATCACATTCTTCTATGATGGTAAAAAATTTGTCAAGATGCACGAAGGCTTCATTCATTTTATTGATTTTCAAAGTCTTAACAATGAGTTCGTTATCAGGTTCTTCTTCATTTTGTATTTCATTCATCTCTTGTAGTCTAATCAAGTCTTCATTTAACAGGTTCTGAGTGAGATTGCATTAACTCATCAATATCTTCATTGTTGACAGCTAAATTCATTTTTAAAGTGTTTGTAATTCTTTCCAGTATTGAGAAGGTAATTTTAATAAGTTTAATTCATTTATTATATCGACTATTTCAGTGATTGAACCTGTGACACTGAAAATGGATGTGATTACTCTCCAACATTACACTGATGGACGTGTAATGTTGGAGAGGTGGGGAGGGATTAGTGACTAATAGTTCATGAGAAGGGGAGAGTCATTACACGAAAGTATGCATGTTTTCCCATATGTGAGGCCCTGGTCTGGGATGAAAAGCATTCTTTTAATCAAAAATCCAAACAAAAACAAATCTTGATCTTTGAAATTAATTAAAATTAAAGGGAACTAAATTATAAAGGAAAAGGAAAAAAAATAAAATTAGTTTAATATTAAAACCACACAAAAAAGGGGATAAAAATTAGTAAATTAAAGTTTTTTTAGACAAGACGAACAAAAAAAGGAAATGGCAGTTAAGGTACAAGGTTCATTCAACACTGAACAAAAGACAGTGTCGACTGTATTTGTAAACAGTCGTCTTTCTCGGGAACCAATTTGATCCAATTTCACCTGGTAACAGAAAAAGACCAAGCTGGGACAGAGAAAGGGGATTAATAACCAATAAAGTAATAATTTGTGAGACAAAAAGATATTTAAGCCCAGGCCACAAGGACACTCAATTCTTTGCCGTGGTGTCCCACGAGGCTATGTCCCTTGCTGGGGTGCTTCCCGCAAAGTTCCATCTTCATCCTTTGCCGACATATCCTCCAAAAGTTATAGACCTTCATTGAGAGAAACTTTGGACATTCTGATCTGCATTCACCAGACATAGTTTCCTGTTTGAGAACTGGACTTGAATTGCAACATCTGGTCAGCGATAGGAAACCACCCTCATCACTGGACTTTCCTCTTCTTCTTTGAAGACTACACACCAAAGTATACAAGGACTTCAATCCTTTGTGACTATAGAACTATTTGTAAGTTAATTGTCTAATGAATGGGTTATGTTGTTCATAAATGAGGCATCAATCTCTGACTCAACCGCTCCCACATGTTGTTGACTGTTACTGCTCGGCAGTCCAGAGGCAATGGAGATGATAACAAAATCACTTATAATCATTATTTTTCATTTTGAAATCTCCCCTCTCAGCCCCCTTACACATATATATTGATAAAAATTGAAAGTACAAAATAGCGAATTGTACAAAAATAGAGGATCGCCTGTAATTTAAAATTATATGACTTCTGGTCCAGACTGGAAGTTCGTATATAGTAAATCGGGGTGTCCAGCCTTTAAGCTTTCCATATCTGGTCTAATTTTAGTGGTGTCTTGCCTGTACATAATACTTCTGATAACAATTGAGTCATACCAGTCAATGACCATATCTGATCTTGATTTTCATCTACTTAACTCTGTTCTTAAGACTAATGAAGGATAGACAAATAGATGGACAATAATAATTTTGGGCTGCAATTTTCAAATTACAGCCCAAAAATAGTGCTTAAATTTTATTTGTATTTTATTTTTTATGGTAGACGTTGTTTTAAAAATGCTGTTGAATATTATTACAATATTATTTAATTTAAATTATAAATTTTCAGTATATAGAAATATTTTTATATTAATTACTATCATTTTAGCTTTATTTCCTAAATTCAATTTAATGAATATTTTAATGCATTCTTTAGAGATCCAGATATTAAAAGGACAATTTGTAAGAAATGTTACATCATATTATACCCAGGAATAACCTCTACTTTTAGATTAAAAAGTAAGTTCACTTCATTGAAAGTTGATATATTTTTTAAATACATGTGTCCAAAACTTTAGATGTCATTTGTACACAAATTTGTACAAATGCAGCAAGAACTGTATTACTTGACATCTAACACAGAGTAATATACAATAACTTATAGGACTTTGCAAATTAAAGCAATAAAAGCAAATTATTGGTGAAAAGATACATACATCAGTTGTACGTAGGTAGAGAATATATGGAAAGTGCTTATCAGTGGATGTACCATGAAGAGAGACCTGTTGGTGTGGAAGCAGGCTCTGTTTGAACATCTATATAAATTGTTACTGACTGGCTTGGTGACTTTTTTCTTATGCTCAGCCTTAAGTTTTTGACACAAACGGCACTTTCAGTATCACTCTAGAAAATTATTAAAATGATTAATCATAGAAACATCGCAAAAGTAAGAATTAATGACTTTCTTCTTTATGTTGATAGTGTAGAGAACTAATGTCCAATTATTATATAAGTGGTGAAATATATTTAATATATTGAAAAATTAATGTGCCTTTTGAAAATAATTCATATGATAATTCAGCTATTATTGTTTGCTTAGCTAAAACATTTTCTATTGTTTCATTTTGTTAGCTAAATAATTGGATCATAATTACCAAAGATAGAACTTTTAAGGAACATAGTCCTCAGTTAATCTGGTAGGTATGATAAGCAAACTGTCCACACAAGCAAACAGTATTTAGTAATGATCTTCTCTGGAACTATTCATAGTATGAAAATTGTTCATTATGAACTGTATTAAAGCAAAAATATGTTAACTGAAACTGCATTAGCGAATATAAAATATGTATATAACATATGCCTGTATTAATTATATGGATACAGTGAATGTGAATTTTTGGCTGAATATCGAATAATAATTTGGATGTTATTAGTACTGAATACCAAATATAAATTCTGTTTCAGGCAGTTTCATATAAATTAGCTGATATTCAGCTAATTTCAGGCAGTTTCATATAAATTAGCTGATATTCAGCTAATTTATATGAAACTGCCTGAAACAGAATACTTATAGTCTAAGCCTTATACCCCGTTCGCACCAAGCATTTCGATCTAGAATGTGACTAAGGTCGGAGACTGTTCTGTGGTGCAAACACTCTTGACCGTTTCAATCTTGACTGAAACGAGGTTCAATCACGATCGACTGGAGAGAGTTCTCGAAACTAGATCCAGTTATAAGAGAGATCCCACAATCCCACGCGCACAAGAAAATACAAGATGGCTGCGGAACATGTGTCAAGCTATCGACAGAGAAATAAAAAAGACACCTGGAGAGACGATGACATCTATCTATTATTATATGTATGGCAAGAAAAAGTATTTATTTCTAACCAAAACTTCCATTTTGTTTGTTGGTGTTTGTGACTTACCGTGTAGTTACGTCAGTTTTATGATCGCGTGTAATAGCCAGGTTCTTCTCGAGCGGACTGCCTGTGCTAACAGCACGACATTCGACTAGCGACAGTCACAATCCAGATTGTAGGTAAATCGAGATCGAAGTGAGTCGTGGATTGTGTGCGAACGTAGTATTAGAATAAGGTGGAGGGCAGTGTCTTCTATTCAATAAATAAAGATTATGTAATAATTTTTTAAAATAAAATTGTATTATGTAATGAAAATTACATAATACAGTTTTAAAGTAAAAAAACTAAATATTGCCATTGAGGTCAATTTGGTTTTTGGCAGCCTTGTTAAGTACTGTATTTAGTGAATATATGGTATGTTCGGTGAAACTGGAAGTACAGTGAAACCTCTATATTCATCATTAATCTGTTCCTAAGGATCTAATAAATATGGAAAATGACGAATATAGAAACATTTCTTCTCATAATAAATAATTTATATTGAATTAATCCGTTCTCATCCTAAAAGATACAAGAATAAAAATTTTGCTGTTTGTAAAACTTTATCTCTATTGTACTAAATAAATACAGTATAGTGGTAGAAGCAGAAGAAGAGTAAGGTTATTATTGTTTAGAAGACATACCATCAATTAAAACATTAGGTAATTCCAATTATGATCTCGGCATATTAAATTCTTTGGCTAAGTTGGAAACACTAGAGAGGTTTGGGCCAAAGTTTTCATCTCTAAAACATGAACATTGAATGTTGAATATCAACATCTTGTAAGCCTAGAAGTTTGATAATGGCATTTGGAATGTCGAGCATTATTCCAATGATGTTCCAAACGCCATTATCAAATTTCTAGGCTTTCAAGATGGCAGTGCTCAACGTTCACGTTTTAGAGATAAAAACTTCGGCTGCAACCTCTCTACTTGGTTCATTTTCAGACTTAGCAAAAATCTTTTTTTATCTGTATTGTTCTAACAGCTTTCCTTTACTGCTGTTTTTCTTCATTGCACTTTGTTGGAGCCACTAGAACTTCAGTTTTTGAAAATAGAGTGAAAAATCAAGAACACACAACAACTGCACAAAGCAGACTGATTAACTACAACTAGCTGACAGTGTTGCTAACTCAAAATTTAAATTTATAGCTAGACATTTTAATAAAAATATTCAAATCATATTGTTTCCATTAAAATTGTTTGATTTTTTTTCTTTTATATATAAAAATAGCTAGCCATTATAATTTAGATAATTTGCATAGTTTTGTTCATAAATCCACGAAATCTAGCAAAAACTTAGCTAACTTGGCAACACTAAAGCTAACACGGCTAACTGATGAACATGTGATTGCAGTGCTACTGCTGAATGATGACGAATACAGAAAATACTGATGAATATGGGAGGAAAGAAGTGATCAAAATGTGACAAATATCGAATATAAAGATTCCTCTGTACTGTATATTCATATAGAGGAAAAAAAATTTGGTTTAGTTTTTGATGATGATTTATATTTTTTGGTTTATTTTCAATGACTTTAAATTATATGATTCATTAATTACTAAANGAAAATATTCAGGATCGCCCATGCAGGTCAATGAGGTCAACATGAATATTTTTGGGAACAATGTAGGACAGGTTAAAAAAATTATTGCTAACAGTTTTCCTTTTTTTGCTCTTTTTCTGCAATGCATTTTGTTGGAGCCATTGGAACTTGATTTTTGAAAATAATCAACACGAGAAACCAAGAACACACACGACCGCACAAAGCAGACTGATTAACTACAGCTAGCTGACATAGTTGCCAACTCAAAATTCAAATTTTTAGCTAGACTTTTCATTAAAAATATTCAAATCATATTGTTTCCATTAAAATAGTTTGATTTTTTTATATCTAAATATCATTATAAAAAGAGCTAGGCCATTATAATTTAGGTAATTTGCATAGCTAGATTGTTCATAAAGTCACTAAATCTAGCAAAAAATTAGCTAAATTGGCAACACAAGCTAACGGGGCTAGCTGATTGGTACAGGCATACGATTGTAGTGCCACTGTCAGTGTTGGGAATGACAACAAATATGGGAGGAAGTCATCAAAATGCAACAAATATTAATATATATATATATAGATTCCACTGTATTTGGCAACCAAAAAGCCTATGAATGCAGAAGCATTACTGTTCATTACAACATATTTATCATTCTTGAATTGTGATTATTAATTAATACATAATCTTGAGAAATCATTGCTTAAGTTATTTATCGCTTTCAAAAACAAATATCTGAGTTTTCAATATTATTATCATTTTAGTTGAGAGAGAGAGAGAGAAAAAAGAAAAAATGAGATTATTTGGCTGAATATCGAATACATATATTTAGTATTTGGCCAAATACCAAATAATACAAAATATTCGGTCCAACACTAATTAATTACTACTTGATTTACTATTTTGTTTTATCTTTTATTGATAAAATGGTTTTATTTTTCAGGTAAAAGGTCAAAACACAGCATTATCAAATGCTTAACTTGTGGAACCATAAAAAGATTTCTAAATAAAGCAGATTATGAACTTTGGTACAACAGACCAGAAGCACAAGTATCTGTTGAATATTTGGGAAACCATATTGAGAAATAAAATGTATTAATTTAATTTGTAGTTGTATCAGAAGATTGAAAAATAAAAACCTTTATAATGGAATTGTTAGCTTCATTCTAGTAATCTGCAAGTAGCAAACTTTTTATATATAAACCAGTTTATATACAGAAAACCCAACTTTTTGACCACTTATGAAATTTTCCTGCAAAACACATTAAAACTTAAGTAAAATAAAAATCTCCAATCTTGGTCACTTGAGTGAGATGGCCACCAATATAGTGTCTTAAAATGACATTTATTGCCATTTATGTGGCCATCAAAATAGGAAAAAACCCCACATTCCTAAACCAATGTATTGTTTAAAGTGCTTTAAATGGAATTGAGCTTTGCTACTATAGTTTTGGAACAGTTTGCTGAGATCCCACCAACAGATGACATTCAAATGAAGTAAATTTAATTTGTTGAGTCTAAATGAAGATTTATCTCAAAAATTTAATAAGAAAGACAATTCTATATTTGTTTGATAATTTTGTAAAAATACAATTTAACAAACTATTATTTATTGTGATATCATCACAATACCAGGCTGCAATTTTTCATCACAGCTCTCAAATTTAATAGTATCTTGCTCCTGTAAATCATACTTTTCTTTTTAACAATAGAGTAATGCTGGTCATTTATCTAACTCTGTTCAGCAGAAATTGTTGAATTGAAATAACATGACTTCTGGTCCAAACCAGAAATTTGCATATAGTTAATTGGAGCCTCCTGCCATTAAGCCACTTTCCATATCTGGTCTTGACTTTTATCTATCTATCTAACTCCATTCTTGAGATTAAGGAAGAATGGACAGACAGCAGATGCCAATGGGAATTTATAGGTCTGCAAGTTTTGAAAAGTAATCCGATCAATGATGATCAGTCAGTCACTTGCAATTCTCAACCTGATGTAAAAACTGGTTTAATTAACACTTTTTTTGACACTTAGATACTTCTGCATATTTAGTGATTTCCATTTAATAATTTTTTCTGCTTTCTTCTGTTAAAATACAAAATTTAAATAAAACCTTGTTACCATTTCATAAACATATTCCATCTAGAGACCTGCTTAGGTACTGTACTGTATTTAAATGAAACCTCACCATTTGCATTCATTTTACACTACCATGTATTACATTATTCTGTAATACAGGTAACCCTCATATAACATGGTAGTTACGTTCCAAAAAATTGCCGTGTTATGCGAATCCGTGTTATACGAAGCAAAGAACTAGTACGAAAAGTAGGGTTAGGTTCCAAAAATTAAAAACATGCTATTATATTTTCATAATTAAGGTAAATATCTTTATTAAAATTTTCTTAAGTGATACATATTAATATAAATTAAACAATGTTTTCTTTGTCATCACTAAAAGCACTATTAACCGAGAGCGTTTTTTTTTGGCAAGTTATCCTTATCCTCTTAGCATTTTTCTGCATTATCTTCAGATCCATACTTTTCCTTTTGCAAAAAGTATGTGATTTTAGATTGCTTGTTTCTAGTTAAAAGATCTTTATAAATGTCCTTATATGGTGCTAAGCACTTATGAAGAATAAAGCAAGTATGGAATATGGGAAAAATATCTGGCAACATCAGAAGAAGAAGCATCACGATCTGGCAACATTGAAATAAATTTCGAGAAGGATCATATGTATGGACAGAAGGCGAGAAAAGAAAATTTACATGCTTAAGTACTAATAGTTCACGAAAATAATAATTTTCGTGAACTATTAGTACTTAAGTATGTAAATATTTATTACATTTCATGTTGCACGAGGGTTTTACCCAATTCTCGAACCGTGTCAGAGTGAATCCGTGCTATAACAGTACCGTGTTATACGGAGGTGGTACCAATTCTCGAACTGTGTTAGAGTGAATCCGTGCTATAGAAATGCCGTGTTATACGGGGGTTACCTGTATATATTTCAAACTTACATACTAAATATGTACAGTATTATGTGAAATTAATTACAGTTCTGTAAGTAAAGAGTACTGTATAGATCTTGGTATCATGGTGAATTAAAGTAATTCATTTTGTTAAAATCTATGAGTGCTTGTGTGTTTCTTAACCTTTCAACAGTGGACTAGTCAGGTATGGTTCTACACCCAGTAGTAGAGAATAAACTTGGGAAATTTTTAAAGTATTTTTCCGTGCATTTTTTCTCACTACTGTTTCAGAAAAAGATTTTGTAAACAGTTATGTCTAGTAAAGAAAAGTCTGTTTTTATTGTTACATAATTCATTTTTTAGGTGAATTTTTTTCATGGTAGTTTGTGGCAATACCCCCAAAAGAATTTGATATATCCGTCCTTCACCACTGCACGATCGCCCTGGACGGATATATCCATCCTTCACTGCTGAGTGGTTAATAAAGTTTTTAAACGAAGCAAATAGCTGGAAATAAAAAAATCTTTTGTAACTTTTAAATGGTTGATTGCAAATTAATTTTTTTTTATTACCAATCTGAATCAATTGGTATTAAAAAAATTAACTTGTGATCAGCGTGTCAAATTACATCTAGATATGTCTATGCCTATTGGTTAATGTTAAGTTTAAGACTTTTTTGTCAATCTTTTCATAACACAAGTGACCACACTACTTATGTAGATAAAAATTTTAAACCCTGAAGATGTCTATATAAAAGGTTTTACTGTATTTAAACTGAAGTGTCTTCAAGATATGATTCTGGAGATACTTTACTTTGATGTTTATGTAATTGGAAAAATGTAATATATATCGATAGAGTATGATTCTATTAATTTAAAATGAATTTTTTAACATATTTTTTGAAGTATTTTTGTATACTTCAAAAAGGTGGAAAATTAAAATTGATTCAGCATTTTTTTGGAATTAGCACAGAACTTGTATATAGCTGTTTTTAACTGTGTTTCATGCAAGTTTGAAACGCCTGACTTGATTGCTGTGCAAGCTACACATGTAAATTAAAAAATTGTATCATCTTATAATATTGCTAAAATTTGAATTATAAGTAAGTGTATGTGGATAAATACACCATGATCTATAAGCATATCACCTCTCATCCATAATGTTTATGCAAAACTATATTTTTATAGTATAAAATATTCAGAAAAATTGAGACAACACACAAATGCTCAACAAGAGATATATTTTATAGGAATATACTGTATGTACAAACAATTTAATATACAGAATAAATTAAAAATTATATGCTCCTGTATATAAAAAATAGAAATTTATCTATTAGAAAACATTATTCAGTTTCAATAGAGCATAACATTTTTTTATTTTATTGAAGGTAAATTGAATTGTGTACTGGAGAATTATTCAGTTTTATATTCTGATGTAAAATAAAATTTAGATATAAATCATTGTTTCCTTGTCATTAGGTCAAGATAAGGATGGTGAAATGCATTTCTGAGTAACAATATATCTTTCCACAAAGCAAATTTATAAACTAAAAAAAATATGGATATTACTGAATTTTTGAAGATATTTTCAAGAATGGATAATACAAGATTAATTTTTAATATACAGTAAATTTCAGCTGAAAAGAAAATAATCAATGCCTTCTGTTAAATTAAGACTTGAAAGGTTTTCTTCAAAGTTTCCTCCTGTTAGATCCTAATTTAAAATAATATATTATTTACATGAAATATATATATTTAAGAAGCTAATAAATTGTATGATTTATTGACAAACAAACTGGTTAACAAAATAAATTCAATCTTTAATAACCAGAAAAATTTACAGTATAAATGAACTATTTAAGTTGGCTTTTAGTAATTGTTATTAGATTTAATTATAAGGAGTTTTAACATGTTCTAGAACACTTGAGAAAACTAAACATGCATTTACAACAAATTCTTAACTAACAAGTAAGATTGAAATGAGTATTACATATAACGTTATATGTAAGAAAAATAACATACAGCCAGTCTAAAATCTTACTACTGGTATGATCAAAACTGGTAAATTTAACTTATTATTTTGGGTTTAAACAATTGATCACACTAATTGATAGCAAAATTGGGCATAAACACACTATATTACAAAAGCACAAATAAATTTACCAGTTTAAACTATTGTGGATTCATGCCATTACTACCAAAAAAAGAAAAGGAACTATCCAAACCAAAAGCCGTACGTTATCTGGCTAGAAACAGCTATAATACTGATAATTTAATAGACAATTTGGCATTAGAGTTAGGCATTAGGTGCCATCTCTTGATAAATTTAATAATTATAAATTAATTAAATAATTTTAAATAATAATTTAGAATTACTGGAAGAAAAGAATTGGACTGAAGCAGGACTCAAACCCGCAACTCCTGCTTACCATGCAGATGCGTTGCCAATTATGCTATCTGGACCTTCGGTGCGATCTCTTCCAGCATATATAAGCTAATGATATAACTATCAACAGTTATTACAATGCCAGCTGGACGCATTCAACGCCCACAACGTGCAACTCAACCGGCCATCGCAAACCCCAGCATGGTGTATATAATAACCATTGAATGCGTCCCCAGCCAGCATTGTAATAACTGTCGATGGTTATATCGTTAGCATATATATATGCTGGAAGAGGAGATCTGACCGAAGGTCCAGGTAGCATAATTGGCAATGCATCTGCACAGTAAGCAGGAGTTGCGGGTTTGAGTCCCACTTTGGGCCGATTCTTTTCTTCCAGTAATTCTAAATTATTATTTAAAAGTATTTAATTAATTTATAATTATTAAATTTATCAAGAGATGGCACCTAACTCTAATGCCAAATTGTCTATTAAATTATTAGTATTATAGCCATTTCTAGCCCGGTAATATACAGCTTTGGTAGATGGATAGCTTTAATCATATCGGGTATGTAAAGATGTTTGATTAGGAAAAGGAACTTTCTGCAGAGATGCTCGAGTCCAGGATTATTATTCTAATATCAATTTTATAATAATTTTATTTATTATTAAACTCAATTAACTTTAACTAACATTAAAATAAATAAACCAATCAGCTTCTGCAATGATATTTATATGTAGTATTCTATAACTTGTATGTGATAATGAGAACTGTATCCCTTTATTGCCATTAAATTTTATGTTTGAGCTAATGACTAATCCAACTTTTATAGAATCCTAGTATAGAACTCACAAGAAGAGGGTCAGACATTTGAGTCTTCAATTCAAACAACTTGGTGAGCATATAGCCCTAAACACAATCAGCTCCTTGTCCAAATAATAGGACCCACTTTTCACGTGTTTCCGAAAAACGGGCCTTTGAAAATTGGGTGTTTAGCTTATAAGTCTGGAAGTTTCATGTCTTCTTCGAAAGGCAACAGCCAAGTGGATAAGATGCTAGGCAGTGGAGTTATGCAACGTATGTTCAAATTTTTGCAATTTTAGCTTTTTTCTATTTTTTTGGTAACATAATTATTTTATTATTCTATTGTATCATTATCATTACTATTATTATTTCTGAAATTTAAAGCTTATAAAACAAGAGATTACAAAATTGTGACAACAATTCCTGTTTAGCAAAAATGAAGTTTCTGTAGATTTAAACTCTTTTATGTTGCTAAGTAGAATTTTCATATCTTCATATTTATTTTTAGATATTTCTGTTCATGATTACATACCATGTCACCACAAATAAACTTCAGACATTACTATGTATGGATGAGAAAGACAAGTCTGATATTAAAATAGTGTAGTGTATTTGCAATGTTTTTCCTTTTAATTGTTAATTTCAGGGACAATTTCCTCATGTTCTCATGTTTGTTACACTTCAAATATAACAATACCACCATATCTGAAAATAAATATGAAGAAATGAAAATTTTATTTAATGACATAAAAGAGTTAAATCAAGAGATTTCTTTTTCACTAAACAAGAAATTACATCATGATTTTTAATCTCTTGTTTTATAAGCTTTAAATTTGAGGAATAATAGTAATAATGCTAATGATACAAAAGAATAATAAAATAATTATGTTACACACAAAAAAAACTAAAATTGCAAAGAGTTGAATCTACATTGTGTAGCTCCATTGACTAGCATCTGATATCCACTCAGCTTTCCAAAGAGAGACAAAACTTTCAAAGATATATAAACTAAACACTCAATTTTCAAAGGTCCGTTTTTCAGAAATGCTTGAGAAGTGGAAAGGAGCTGATTGAGTTTAGGGCTTCATGCTGACCAAGTTTTGTTCAAATTAGAGACCTGAACATATGACCCTCTCCTTCTCAGTCATAATTTGGAATTACATGTGTAATGTTAAAAAAAGAAATAAAAACCTTGGTTTGTTTTAAAAAATTAAATTTGAAGTAATATAGTTTATATAGGATTTGTATTATATAATTTCAATAATAACTTTATTATTAATTTAGATATAATCATACAGGTTATACTCAATGATGGCTGAGAATGCTTAAGATAATTGTTAATATATTTTATGATATATAATTTTAAAATAATATATATATTTTGAATAAATACATAGAATAATAATTTTATCCAAAGTATTATTTATTATTCAAGCACTTAAAATTATACTTACTAATTTTATGCAAATAATGAATGGTGGCTTTGCTTGAGTAAAATGAATGATAGGAATTTTAGGTTTGACTGAATCCTGTAATTTTAAAATATTAAATATCAGTAACATCTCAAATTATTGTAATATAAACGAAATTTTAATTTTCTTGTATACATAAAATGGTACTAATTATATTCATAAATAGTTCCTACTTAACTATAATTCCTGATGTATAAATCTTAAGAAACTAAAAAAAAATGACCTGCAATACAAAATAAATGAACATATTCTATCTGTTAATTTTACAGTTAAGTATAAAAACTCAATAATTAATAAAAATACATTGCACTAACCTTATATAGCTTTGCAGAGTGTTACGTTTCAAAAAGTAACTGCAAAGCTATATAAGGTTAGTGCGACGTATTTGTATTTATTATCGCTTTGTTCATTGGATGGATTTTATTTTATTTGATGATTAATTTCTAACAATTAAAATTAAATTAATATTTATTAATTTAGAAGGTTCTGGAAGAAGAGAATTGGTGCAGAGCAGGACTCAAACCTCCTCAATTGCCAGTTAGGCTATGTGAGTCATTCCACGAGTAACCAATATATGTTAATTAACAGTTCTGGAAATGAAGATCAAACAAAGCTCTGCATAACTGGCAGTGCATCGACATAGTAAGCAGCAGTTGTGAATTCAAGTCCCACTCCAAACCTCCTTAGTGTGATAGATACGAAGCGATAAACAGGTATTTCTGTGAACAGAATTACAAGGAACGAGACAACACAGTAATAGATATAACAGATCAATTTTATTTTTGCTTTCATATAGGTTAAAAAAAAAAAACCCCGATCCCAACTCACAGGCTTTCAATTCGCGTGTATAACAATTGAACAGTTCATTCCAATAATCAAATCAAACAAATGCTCGACAATATTACTGCGGAAACTTATGACTAAAACTTAACCTAATTATATACTAAAAGGAGATAAGGAAATCAGACAGATTGTTACGGAAAGAGAAGAGGGAAGAAGGAAAGACCTGGAAATCTTTTTTGTAGTCATATACCTTGGATGGATCACTGATACACGAAAGTCGATAGGTTTCAGAATTTTTTTTATCACCTCCTTCTTGTACTGCTCCACCTTGCATGGACTATCTACATACAGTTATCTAAGCTGGCCTCCTTAATGCTGGAAGATCTTCGTCTTCAGCACTGTATTTTCAGGGACCTAATTTCTCTCATTATTAACACAAACTGGGGCCACTGTTAAGGTTAAACCCTCCAGATGTCAGATACAGTTCTCTGATATTCTGACAAAAAATGTCCGTAGGCGCCTCTGGTCACAATTCCAAGCAAGACTCGATTGCACCTCTTGTCACCACGAGGTCACCAAATCTGAGTTTTCCCTATCTTTTGATTCCCTAGCGAGTTGTTAACTTTTGTTTCTCAACGTCCATTCCGAGAACCGGTGAATCCACCCGAGGAAAAAGGGATTAACATAGAAAGTTCTAGAATAGTCAAGACAAATAACAAAGGAAATACTAAGCCTAAGATATAAAATATATACAAAAATATACAATAATATGGCTGACAGCCACATTAGAAGGTTCTGGAAGAAAATAATCGGTATGGATAAAATTAATTAATAAATATTAATTTAATTTTAATTATTAAATTTAATAAGAGATAGTTCCTAATGTCTTCCTCTAAGCCAAATTATGTAGCATTTAATTATTAATAGTAGAAGTAATATATCCCAATTAATCCAGCAATCATTTGGTTTTAAGTCATTTAATGTTACATTTGACTACAGTGTGATAAAATGTTTGAAACTTACCTCACTTTCTTCAAATGTATAAAATCCTTTACTTATTTTCTTTCTGTCTACATCACAAAATGCAACTATCTGAAATAATATGAAAAGTTTTAAACAGAATGTTTTCCACCTTTATTTTCACTAGATATATACATAAATTAATATTTTATGAATTATGTTATATATTTTTCATAACTTCTTGAAGATTTATTATGGAAAATAAAGCTGACTTCAATACATTATTTACGATAAAAAATGATATGTGGTAGGGTCATAAAATAAACCAGACTTTTAATGTAACTTTTATCATATTAATAATAGATATATTTCCAATGACCACTTTCAAAATTGGTACAACGGAAGAGACTATATACCTCTGCTAACATCTGTACCATTTATTAAGACAGTCTTATAGCCCATTCTGCATTAATTCCCTAAGTGCAATTTTCACAGCACTTTTAATCTCTTCCATTAATTTGAATCTGAGAGCCTTCAAACAGAGCTTTCATTTTGGTAAAATCATGAAAGTCTACAAGAGCAAGCACTGGTAAGAAGGCTTTGGAAGTATTAACTAACTAGGAACATGCGATGTGCCAAGACATTGTTGTGATGGAGAAACCAGCTTTTGCTTGCCAGAGATGATATTTTTTTCACCACATCGCAAAGGCAACCAAGAATGTCAACATAAAATTCCTTATTGATGGGTCTATAATAAAGAGCAAACTCATAATTCATCAGGTCTTTCACATAAGAAAAGTGCCATGATGATTGAACAAGGCAAAGGTAGTAGTATAGAATGGACTGCATGACTCTTAATAACTGGTATGAATGTTGGCAGAAGTGCGCACTGCAGAAGATACTTATTTTGAAGGTCTTCTGTAAATACTTGTATTATTAGCACAATGAAAGTTACAGTTCCCACTCTAGAAATGGTTATACTTAATGAAAAAACTTACTCAAGTATTAGTAAATCTTCTAATATTAAACAGGTATTGATGTTTGAATGAGTTTTTTTAATGAAAGTTACATTAAAAGTTTGATTTGTTTTTTGACTCCATCATGTATAAAGAACTAAATATCAGAACAGACAAATCTTGGCACTATCATGTAAGAATACAACAATACTGCTTGTTTAAGGCAACCAAAATGAGCTTATTATATTACAAAAGAAATGTTTTTAGCTTTTCTGCAATTGTAATCAGCTTTGATCAATATAAAACAGAACAGTATTTAGAGAACAGCATTCAAAATTTGGAATTTCAACATACTGTGTTTCCCTGAAAATAAGACAGTGTCTTATATTGATTTTTGCTCTGAAAAATGCACTAGGTCTTATTTTCAGGGAATGTCTTATTTTTTCCAGGAAGAAGAATTCACATTTATTATTGAACAAAAAAATTCCCAAGTCGAACTTAGACAAGAGTGACGTATATCTGGTGTGTCGAACTGTCGCCTTTTTATAGCGTCAACATCAGACTCGATGACCAATTAGTGCTTACTGAACCGTAGCACTATGCAAATGTCATGTGGCGTGATTCCCGGCCGACCAATTAGCCATCACCAGCCGTAACGTTATGCAAATCTGTGATTCCCAAGCCATAGTCTTATGCAAATCATGCCGTGTGGCGTAATTGTCTGCTGACCAATTAGAATTAGTGGCTGTACTTTCACAAAGCCAACAGCCACTTTCAACCATCTGTCGATGATCATTATGACTAAAAAAAACTTCGCTAGGTCTTACTTTCAGGGGGAGATCTTATATTTCGCAATTCAGCAAAATCTGTGCTAGGTCTTATTTTCGGGGAAACACGGTATTAGAAACTGGATTTTCTAAATCTTAAAACAACTAATTTTCTGAATTATCTGTAAACAAACAGAATAGAAACTGAGACTATATATTGCTATAATAATAGAATTTGAAGTTTAAAATTTTGCAAAAATTCAAATAGGTCAAAATCCTTTTGTTATATTTCATTGTTTACTATTACTGATGTAGAAATGATCACTATATTTCAAGGTAATCATATCTTATTACACCACTTAAAGTTTGCAAAGAGAAAATTGTTTATTTAACAAACATTTTCAACATATTAACATAGGCTATCTTCAGGTTTTGAACTAAATTAAAAATCGTTTTCAAAAAATAGTGATGGCTATGTTAGTAAGTTGAAAATGTTTGTTAAACAAACAGTTTTTTCTCAGTGAACCTTAGGTGATATAAGATTGTAGTCTCTCTGCTGAGTGCATCTTATAGGAACTTATTTAAATATGTTCTGTATGTCCTTCCATATTTATTTTTTTTATTGTAATGAATAATTTTTTCATATTACAGTAGTCTCGAAAACTCGGCTCTCAATAACCCAGCAGTCCAGATAACTCGGCCACACCATGGCAGGGCAAAAAAATCCTTAGTTAATTAATTTTCATTATAGACAGCTTTATGTCTCATAAAGTATTTTTCTGAGGTCTGTCTTATCAGGTAAATTACTGTACACAGTGTATTCATTAATTTTCATTTTCATGTAGTAAAGGCTCTATGCCTTCATAAAGGATGTACTTTTCCNTAAAGTATTTTTCTGAGGTCTGTCTTATCAGGTAAATTACTGTACACAGTGTATTCATTAATTTTCATTTTCATGTAGTAAAGGCTCTATGCCTTCATAAAGGATGTACTTTTCCTTTGTTTAAGGGTATTTGGGCAGTTTATTCTCTGTTGTATTCTCAAGTAAACAATACATACAAGTACAGTACAGTATTTTCTGAGGAAACACTCATACTTACTTTTTTAACCCCATTCCTGATAACCCGGCATTTTCACAAACTCGGCCACCCTTTGGTCCACATTAGGCTGAGTTTTTGAGACTCTACTGTATTTTATTCTTTCTTATAATTAAATGTTTCCTTTGACTAATCTTTGCTAAAATCTACTTTACATAGTTGATATCCTTAGATGTTAGAAATTCCATCTGTGGTTCCATATATGAGAATGCCAATTGGAATTTCCATTAAAAGACTGATCATTTAACTCAAGTTAAACAAATACTAATAAGCATTTGAAAGAAAAATGTTATTGGTGTAACAATCCAATTGGTTTAGTCTAACATTTTATAGAAGAATCTAAAGCTTTGGCCAAAGTTTGAGAAGTTTGAAACATAGGCTAATTTGGCACATATATATAAAATTCAGTACTTTTTGTATATCATTGCCATCATAAGCATGCTGTTGGAAACTTTGTGACTATCTGTTTGTTAAATTAGTCCTCAAAAAATAAATAAATAAAAACCATTATTTATTTTCTGATAGAATCTACAACAAATGGAATTCATGTTCATGAGAGGAAACCTTGTAGTAGGCCTACATACAGGCAAAAAAGGTGATGCCTAGGCACTTGCAAATTTGGTACATTTTAGTATTTAAATCATAAAATTGGTAATTATTGAAATTATAATTGTTTCTATTGTTTGTTTCTATATTAAAAATATTCATATTATTGTAGATCTAGATAAGTTACCCTCTACCTTCATTGCTCTTATAATGGTCCTTACAAATATATTTTGCCTAGGATCTAGCAAATCCTAAGTACACCTTTAAGGAAATCTGAAAATTTTAAAGACTAATTCAGAGAAATATTGAGGGCACTAGGGAAAGAGGAAGATCCTGAATAAGCAGGGCAGGAAACTTCAGAAACTAGATACAATAGTATCTGCAAGAAACAAGGAATTGTGACATTGGAGAACTACCATTCGTCAGCTGAAATCCTTTGACTAGAGGAGACAACAGACATAACAGAAACTGTTAAATTTATAATACTATCACTCAAAAACTGGGTATACTTGAACTAAAGCTATTAAAAAACCTAATATCCAGCAAAGATCAGAAGTGCTAACATTTCACCTATTTAACACAGGCAAAAACATTAGCACTTCCAAACTTCTCTGCTGGACATTAGGTTTTTTAGTAGCTTTAGTACTGTTGAATTTATTCAGAATGATGAAAATACTTTCACAGAAATATTATAATATAATAATTCTCAATGTTTAAAGTTTATTATTTGGGAATTTTGACCAATTTTAATTTATATGAAAGTAACTAGATAAATTAAAGAAAACTTTTGGTCAGGAATTTGCTTTTTTTCAAATTTAAGAAAAAATTAAAATTGTTTTATAAATATTTATACATGATTCAAAAATATTATGTTTAATTAAATACCAAATAACAAATTATGTTATAAATTAATAATATCAAATTATAATTTTTGACTAATTACCTTACTCCTGTTAGAAGAACTTATAGAACGGAAGAACTTTCTCCCCTGTTTTCCAGCATTCCAAATTGTAAATTTTGGCCAATGATACAAAACATTTTCTTCCAATTCCTTAATTCGAATGTCCCATATTGTTTTTCTGCATGAAAATAATTTAAAAGTTTTAAATTATCATTAAATGAAAATAAACAGTAAATACTGCAAAAAGCTGTTTCTATTTAAATTTATTTATTATTACTTTTGATTACATTGTTTTCTTAATAAATTTTCCATAAATAATTAAGGACAAGTAGTTATAAATAACAACAACTCAAAGCCCAAATAGTATATATACTAAATTGCCAAATGATCGCCTAAATATCGGGCTATTATATGGCTAATTAAATGATTAGAATAAAGTAATTTGTCATTAGAGGTAGGCGTTAGGCACCATCTCTTAAATAAATTAATAATTAAAATTAAATAAATAAATTATTAAATTAATTTTAGAACCTTCTGGAATAAGGGAACTGGGCCGGGACTGGGCTTGAACCTGCAACCTCCTCTTGCCAGTTACGTCACCCAGACCCCGAGCGAGTCTTCGCTTCCAGAAGTATATTAGATTAGATATAACCTTACTTGGTTAAATACATCACTGACTGGGGACGACTTTATCGCCCACGACCCCAATGGCACTCAGCCAGATAACGTAATACCCGGCGAGGTATATAGCCCCGNACACCCGGCGAGGTATATATATATATATATAACAACAATGTTAGCTGGCTGAGTGCCAGCTAACATTGTTGTTATATATATTTTCCTGGTGCAGTGATGTAGGTGACAATGCACACCTACCCATTACTAATATGGTAACAGAGTTTTTGACCAAGAAAATTATTCTGTGCAACCCACATCACCTGTACAGCAGAAATTTAGCACCCTGCAACTTTTTTCTGTTTCTAGCACTACAGCTGAAGTTACAAGGAAATGAGTTCACAGAAGTAGTGGTCAAACAATTCCAAGAAATGGATTACTATACATCTTCAAGAACTAACAGAAATAATGGCAGAAGTGCATTGAATTCTAGGGGAAACACTTAAAATTATACTAGTTTCTACATCTCACAGTGATTATCATGTGAGGAAGAAATATCTCATTCTCAATTTAATTTAATTTTTTAAATAAATTAATACAAGTAATGTCCTACAGGACAAGAAAGAAGTTCCATGATAACAAGTAATAGACAATAATAATAAACATGCAATGCACAAATAAACAATAAAACATGTATAAAACAATCATAGTAAAGACATTAAAAAAAGCAAAAATAAAAGTTTATTATAAAATTATACAAATAAAATTTGTTTTGACTTTTCCCTCATAGTTGTATACAGTCAGTAATGGTATATGAAAAAAGAATAATGTCATTTACAGCATTTAATTACAAATAATTTTTTAAATTATGTACAGAAAATAATAATTTTTATTTCATTTTAAAATACAGTATAATATTTCAGTAATCAAATATGTCAAATAATACCACAATATCATGAAAATGTTTTGTAGTATTTTCATTTTAAGTAGTTTTGTAGTAACTAAAATATTAGTTAATTCCAAATCATTAAATTTATTACAGAAGAGCAACATCATTTACTTTTAGTCAGAAATTCTTTAATAACTTAATAAAACACTCCTAAAAACTGAAGCTGATCATTAATAAAAGACACCTTCCACACTTTTCCAGCTCCATTCTTTGTCTCTAAAAATAAACTAGTGCTGGAAATGCAGAAGGTGTCTTTTATTAACTTAATTAAAATAGAATCTAAAAATAGCCAGTAAAGCCTAGCTATTTAGTTTATATTGATGGTATAAATACATAAAATATTTTAAACATACTCATCAATGGAAAAAGTAGTAGCACCAGGATGATAACGATACATCAACAAATCTTCATCCACCCTGTATAAACTTCCATGTAATTTCAAATGGGCAAAATAAAATAATAAATCTTCAGGTGTTCCCTGTAAGTAATATAAGTATAAAGGTAATTTGTCAAATAAATTAATTACTACTGAAATAATTATTTTTGTAAATACAGTAGTATATAAAATGGACTTTTCAGTCACAGTGGACAGGTGTCACTTGTCAAGGCCATGTGCAATGGAGTTTTTTGGGAGTTTAATTTCCCATTTGGAAAAATTAAAAACTTAAATAAAACAATATATTGTATATAACTTATATTTATTTTGTACTTACTTAATTCCTCTCTAGTCTACTGCAGAGGTTCTCAGAGAATTTTTGAGGCTGCAGAACACCATTCATATACTTTTTAATGTGCAGAGCATTAGCATCAATATATTCAAAAATTGATAAGCAATTCCATGTTTACTATTGTCATGAAACAATAAAGCAATAAACTTTATTATATTGAATCCAATAGTAAGCAAGGAATTGTCTATGAATAAGGTGATATATTGTAGTACATTGGAATAAATTTGCAATGAAAACCTTTTTGTGGAACACTTAAGCAAGTTTGTAGAACACGGATTGAGAATCACTGATCTACTGTATTGTGTTACTGTATATAGTTATATTGTAAAAATTAATAAACTAGATTATGAAAAAATATTATTATTTTTTGTAATAAAAATCTTGAGCACTGTCCTAACTTTAGTTAGTTAAATAGTTAATGGTAAAAATTTGTTAGAGCCCACCAGTGGCTGAGCGGTCTTCATACCCTGAACACTGGGAGTTCAGTTGTGGATTTGCGCCTTGCTTGGATGGGCTGGCCACGAGGAGTTTTCTGGGTTTTCTCCACGTTTGTAACGCCTAAATAGGGGCCAATTTCCCTTAAAAAGACCTCCTGGAAGGCATCACCCCTAGGCAGATCACCCAAGTGTTGCATTGCCCAAACTTTTGAGCTAAGAATTCGCAATCATTCTCTTTTTCTGGCATACTGATTTATCGTTTATATTTATTAATAAATAAATGTGAAATTTTATGGCTTGTTTTATAAATTTAAAAGCATAGAAAATAAAATTTCCTGAATTAATGAATATAAATATCGTACATAAAAGTAGGGAATATTGTCATGTATTGAGTAATTAACAAATTAATAAATGTTAGAAAATAATGATTTAAAATACTTGAAACTACAGCTGTTTCATAATGCTGAATATTTTGTAAATCACTTTGATTCTAACATTTTTCATCAATACTTTTAATTTTAAAGTTAACATATCATCATTATATAAGAGTATATTGAGAATCTTTACAACTCCCAAATAGTATAAAATAAATGAAAAACTTAAATTAATATATATAAAAATTTAATTCCAAATTCTATTTGCTATTTATTTTAAGGATTATTCCTGTCATTAAAATTATTTACTTGTGTAATAATATAATTTATTAGATATCTTTATGTATAAAATGTAAGGATTACTGCTATATACTCCTGACAGACAGCATTAAACACGTGTATATATCTTTAATTACATTGTTCTGCATCACAATCCTCGCATGAAAGAAAATGTGATTTTTTTAATGTATTTTAATGAGCTGAAAATGAATCTGAAGTCCAAAATCTTCTATTAACCACAGTATTTTTAAAAATAACCATTTGTTTGCATAAAAATGTCTGTTTTAAATAAACTTTCTTTTACTGTTGTTTGAATAAAATATAAAACTGGAGAAATCATATTTGCTTAATGTCAAGAATCATTCTACAAGGATCTTCTTGGGTCAGGTGCTACATCTTAGTATACCATTAGGTATCAGCTGTCAGGTGCCATATTTAATTCATGATTTGGGTTTTTCAAAAAGAAAGGCTCAACTACTTGCATTACATCTCCAGCAGTAAAAACTTTTGGAAAAAGTAGTTAAGGCATCCTGTTACAAAAAATGGAAATCAGGAAAAGTGAAATTTTTCAATAGAGGACAATCTCATTTTTTGCAACAATATACTGCATTTGTTGGAGGATCCTGCCAATAAAGAGTCTCCACTCCATAGGATCTTGTGGACTCTTTATTGGCTCATCAAAGTTCAGCCTTAAAAGAGTTTTGCTGCAAAATGGCAACAAATATCTGTTTATGCTGTTCACATGAAAAAAAATGAAAGTTTTCTTTGATTTAGTAATCATACTTGATAAGTCAAAATCATTTTTTGTTCCTTTAAAACCAGAAATAAAATCATCAAAAATATTTGAGCCAATATGGTATGTTGTAAACATTTAAGAAAACAAATAGTTTTGCTTGCCAAATTTCTGTTTAAAGGTATTTCATTTTAAAGGAATTCAGTCTTCAGTGTTTTAATACCGAAGATTGAATTCTTCTCTTTGTTGTTTCATTTCAAAGATTATGTATGCTATTATTATTTCTTACTTTAAGAATTATATATGTATATGTATGCATATATACATAATTTAGATGTTCAAAATTACCATTCCTGCTTCACTAAATCCTCCAACTTTTTTGAAAACGTCACGGGAACAAAACCAAGTTGGCATTATTAAAGTTGGTCCATGAGATGTATATATCTAAAAAATTAGTCATATGTTTTAAAGTTTTCTATTATTTTTTATTTTTATATTAGTACAAGAAAAAATGTACTTGCAAAAAGTTCATAATTTATCATACAGAATAAATAAAGCTAAGTTTTATTAATAATACAGTAAACTTGCTTTATAGCAACCCTTGATTTAGTGATTCACCATGATATAACAATCAACACAAAAGTTCTGATCAATCGCTCATAAATGTGATTTTACTATTGATTTGACCTTTTGAACATTGAATGAACAAATCTGAAAATAAAATCAAACTGCCCTCTTAGGTGAAAATATACCTTGATATTTAAAAAAGTTTTTGAACTAAAATTACCTTTATTGTACATAAAATATGTATAAATAAATATAATTTTGATAATGAACTGAATGAAAAAATTACAACAATCTCTGAAATAAAGTCAATTTGCATTAATTTTAAAGATCATGGAACCATTTCCACTGCATGGAAAACCCTCTTTGAATTATACAGTAGTTGCATTTACATTGTATATCAGTGATTCTCAAACTTTTTCGATCCACCGCCCCCTTTGTTCCATAAAGTTATACCCAACGCCCCCTAACCCATTTTCTCTTGTGTGAGAAAAGGATTGGAAATATTCTTAGGAAAACTTTTCTATGAATCTCACACTTTGTGCCCTTACTGTACATTGTTCTCATCATCTGGAAACCATTAAACGCAATGTTTCCTCTTATCAGCCCCAATTTTGCCTTTGGTCACCGTTCAATACCCTGCCTC